CTAGCAATATCCTTCAACTTGAGTGCTTGTTTTGACTCCGTGATGTTCCATCTAGTCGAAATATCTTTGTCTCAACTCTTCATATTCTATATTCATATCAACATGGAACTACGAAGAAAGAGAACAGATACGATGGTCAAAGTATATGTTACAACCAACTTAACAATCTTCGTTTGGAAAAAAAAAGAGTCCAGGACAGCGACATACAACAAACTATGAACTTTAAAATTAAGTAGAGAGCGCGCATCAACTTGGACATTGATTCTAATACGCCTTTGGTACATGTACCTACCTACCGTGTCTCCCACCAGAATGCAGTGAGTGGTTCCAATAACAGGAGGAGTTCCTTTGCGATTTTGATATCTTACTTACTACGGTAATTGATGAGGGTACCTTACCTACCTATCTCCTCTATTGATTCTTTTGTGTGAAATTCCGTAGGTAGGTAGGTAGGTAACTGAAGATGTCCCGCGGATCAACCAGATTTGTTTCGTTTGGGACAAGAACAAGTTTTTCCTGACTGACTGGATGGAAGCAAGGAGGTTTGCCTTCCGTAGTCGTGGTCGGAAGAAGAGAAGAGAAGACTGCCATTTCTTAGGTAGGTAACAACGGCATCGGTGGGTCTACATGGAGGCAGCACCGTCTCATAGGTAAAGGGAGGGAGGGAGGGCCACTTACACTACGAGCCCATGTCCGTCGGAATCAACACAACACCAGTAGCATCGCCCGCAACCTATCTTCCCTTGTTGGTGATTGATGATGGTGATGGTGAGACCGTGGACATGAACATCGATGAACAACTAACTAACTGCTTACGGATGTGTATGCATCCGAACAGTGGGAAAGCTTTGATAACCCGGCGGCAAGCGGGCTAGCAGGTCAATTACATACAGTACAATGTGCTTGGTAGACAGAGGTAGGTATGATCGACTTGGGTACCCAACTTGGAATTCTAGTAGTGTCGTCTGCGTAAAGAGGGGATTAATTAGTACATACCTACTCCTAGCCTTAAATGAGTATGTACATGGAGAAAGTTACCTCTACGCTTTGTAGGAAGGCAGGAGGTAACAGCCGTGCCGCTGCGCGTGATACTTCAAACATGGCTCACTCATTTGCAATTCTATACGAATGTGAACAATCCAAAATAACGCTTCGCTATATTCAATTATCCGTCGCTGTCCTTATGTAAGCTATTATTTATCCCAAACTTCTCTCGCCTTCGCGGCCTCTTCAGCAGCCACTATAACAGCCGGTGACTGAAGCGGTGATGGTGATGGTGATCGGGACCGTGACTCTTCTTTTTGTGTCTCTTCTGTTGTCGTAGTAGTAGTCGTTATCGGCGCTAGGACAGGTGATGGTTCCTTCTTGACATGCTCGGTAGCTGTTGCTGGGGCGTCGTCGAGTGAGACTTCTTGCATGCCGTTATCCTCCTTGTCCTCATTTTCCTTGTTGTCCGCCTTGTCCGACTTGTCCTCAATCTCATCCTTTTCATCCTTCTTAACCCCAGTTTCACCATCACTTCCTTGTTGTGTCGCGATTGTCGTCTTCGTATTATCCGCGGACCTCACCACCTCCGGCGACGCCAGACTCATCAGATTAACGCTCCCCGCTGTCCCCGCCGTCCCGGGTCTTGATCCGGCGCCACCCACCGGCTTTCTCGCAATCCCCCCACGTACTCGTTCAGGACTTCCAAACTCACTCCCCGAGTACCCTTCCCCATCCTCACCCTCCACTGCATCCAACATACTCTCCCCACTCAACGCCCTCCTCCTATACGCTCTTTGTTCGACAGTGCTACTGTTCCCCGTTCTGGTGGTCCTCACCGACTCCGGACTGCCCGTACCCAGCGGAAGAGCGGCATACGCCCCGTTTCGAGGAGGCGACTGGGGCATAAATGTTTCACGCTCTTCGGACGTGCTACCGCCGCTGAGAAGGAGGGAGGTGCGGTTCCTGATGGCTTTGGACCAGCCCCATCCTTTCTTTTCTTGTTCCTTCTCCTTGTCCTTTTCTTCTGGTTGTTGGGATCCAGTTTGTGAAGACGTGTCGCTGGTAGTCGTAGTATCGGTGGTGGTGGGAGGCACAGGCGCGGTCTCGGTAATCGGTGTCGTCGGCGCCGAACGGCCCCATCCTTTGCGCTTTTCGCCCGCCCAAGCCGTCCAGCTGCTCACAAAGGCGCCGGCTTTGCTGCCTACCGTGGACACGGCAGCCGCTGGCGCCAGTCCTCCTTGTCCGTTTCCTCCGTTCCCGTTCCCACTCCCACTGCCGCCACCCTTTTCGCTACCGTGCTGTTGCCCATTCCCAGCAGCTGCCGCCTCAGCCTGTCGTTGCTTTTCCGCCTCCTCCGCTGCCTTCCGTCTTTGTTCCCTCAAGGCCTCCATGTCTGCATACAATTTATTGAACATGGTGCTGGCCTTCTCTTTCCCTGCCGCCAGGTTCCGCCCCAGCACCTCCTTGCCGACCGCAAATCTTTCATCCAGATGCAGATCCTGCACCTGCTGCGCGATCCGTCTCTGCACATCATCGATCGTCAGCCCGCCGGCACAAGGGTGCTTGGGCTCGACAATGTCGAACAAGTGTGAGTCCGTGTGGCCGTCCCAGATCCGGTAATTTTCCGTGCGCTTCCAGGCTTCGATAAAGTCGGCGTTGAAGTCGAGCGAGGGGTCGCCTTCGATGTGCGGGAGCAGCATCCGTGGGTTTTGGGAGTGGATGGCGAGGTGGTTGTGGTACTTGACGGACGAGATCAAAGACAGTAGGTACTCCTCGAATTGTAGCCGGATGAACTCCTCGGAACCGACGTAGCCCATGGTCTTGGGCATTCCCGGATTGGCGTCGTCCCACGTGTCATTAACGTTTTGCGTGATGAAGTCGATCCAGCGGCGGTCGGGTGTAGACAGGGCGAGGGCGGATTTGAGGCTGGGAGAGGTGATGTTGATGGAGTCTTCGTCGAGGTTGATGAGAATGTCGGAGTAGCGGTCTTTTTGCTGGAGCAGCAGAGAGTTGGTGCTGCCGACGATGTAGGACTTTGTGCCAAAGTCGGCTAGGATGTCGAGCTGCTGGAGGGGGGTATACGGCCCGAACAAGCTGCCTTTGCCGAAGATCTGGAGCGGTAAGCCCATGTACGCCAGCAGCGAGTTGCGATCACTTGTCCGCAAGCTCGTCGGCCTCTGGAGCTTCTTCTCGTAGTTATCCAGCTCCGGACCGGCCGAGTCTTGCAAGTTCCTCAACAAGCCCGGGATCAGGCTGATGAGTGAAAACTGCATCATGCACAGTCTCTCGCACCTTGATCCAAAGAACAACATCTTGGGCTGGAGCAGGCAGCACTTGAGCAGCACCAGCGTCTGCCACCGGAACTCGCGCACCAGCTCGCGCAGGCTCATGCCGAGATATAAATCCCTGTCCTCCTCCTTCTCGCCAAGCAAGGTGCCGCGCGCCTTCTCGTCAGCTAGGCTCTCCTGGAAGCGACGGAGGATCTCAACATCAGTGAACTCGCGCTGAGCGAACCAGGCCTTTGTGACGACGCTCAGACGTTCGCGCAGCATGCCGAAGTACTGGGGCGAGTCGGCGATGATGACGACGGCTTTTTGTACAGTCGAGCGGGTGACATCGGCGGGGCGGTTCAGCAGCTGGGAGGCATCCATCTGGCGGGTGCACGAGATGCCGAAGAGGGAGGTGGCTTCGGGTTCGGAGGCGGTAGCGGGGCGGAGGAGGGTGAAGTAGGAGAAGTCTTCTGTTGCGCTGTGCCGTCCAATGCATCGTCAGTCTTTAAACATGTCTTTTCTTTTCCGAGAGTTGGAGGGGAATGGGGAGACGTACGCATGAGCACCATCGCTCAGGGCCATAAAAGGCAACAACCCCCAATCATACTCGGCAGCTGGATCGCTATCCTCGGGCACGCCGAACCACCTCTCGACCTCGGGGCCGCGCGCATGGTGAAAGTCGACGACGGCGACAAGCGGGATGAAGCCCGGCTTTCTCTCGGTTGTCGGGGTAGGGGGGACGGACATTGTCTAGGCTGGGGATCCGGGATCCGGGAGTTGCGACTGATATGCGGTCCGGAATGGCGGCAAAAGCTACCGGGCGCTTGGTTATATGACTAGAATGTTTGTTTTTCGTAATCACCAATTCAAGATATCTCCATGTGGTAGGGTAGGTATGTATACGTAAGTATATAGAGATTGAAGCGGCGACGGAGAGAATAGCCCAGGTTGCTTAATTGGGTTGGTAGGGTCTTGGGATGGTACGAGAAGTGGCGGCGGAAGGGGTGGGCCGAGCGATGTCAACGCCAATGCCGTATGTGTTGTCGCCGTTCAGTGATCCGGAGATAGTGTGGGTATAAACAAAGATTTAGGACAAGACGATTTCAAGGTCGAAACATTTCTACAACAGTCGCCGGACTGACATCCAAGGACGGGAAGTTGGAAGAGGACGAGCGGGAGGATCGGAGCTTCTCCCGACAATTCGACGAGGCGCGTTCGTGACTGAGGTGCTGAGTGGGCGGCGGCTCGTGCTTCGTTCCCCAGCCGTCCCCTCACTGCCCACTCACTGCCCAAAGACGGAAACCCACAGCGCTGAACAACACCTTCAACTTACCTTGATGCATCCTCCAATCAGTTGGCTGCCGTTCTATATAGACCTGAGGTACGCATACCTAGAGGTAAGTCTGCATCGCCGAGTCAACCCATCTTCCTGTACCATCTGATGTTTGCTTCCTTTGTCCTGTTCTCATCAGTGAGTGCCTCATGCAACATGCAACTGTAAGAGAGGCGACAGACAGTAAGATGCGGTGACATCGTACATATATATGTATGTAGACATCGGAATGCACACCAAACCGCCTGACCTACCGCGAGGTTTTGCTAAGGCGGTGATCCATGAGAACGATATCGACGGGAACGAACGATGGTGATAGTTTGATGCAAAACACGCGCGTTTTCCCCCCCAAACCAACCGCCAGCCAAAAGCTACAGACCGGATTCTGGGTCAACGGTCAACGAGGGAATAGCTAAACCTTATGACAGTGATCTATTCCTCACCACCCTCCCCGCCCACCGTCGCTTTTCACTCAATCTTCACCCCCTTTTCACCACCCCTGAGCTAAGAGTCTGATCTTGGCGATCTCCGACTAAGCATGTTTAATGCAATGCCAGTAATACTCCGACGTGAGCTGATGTTACCAAAAAAGTCTATCATATACTCGAACTAATAAATGTAGAATCTCAACTCTATCCATCCGACCGCCTGTTTGCCCCTACAACCGACCCCTAACGGCGTGTGTCTGCTTAGGTTACTACTCCCCACCAAGTGCCTCGTGAACGAATGGATAGCCATCATTTCCACTCATCCTTTCTCTCCATAACAATACAGGCCGCTTGTCCACCATCAACTCCCTCGGCGGGCTCCAAAGAGTGGCGGTCTCGGCCTTACATATCATTCCCTCTCCACGAACGCCATGCATGCCCAAATTCTCCATCATTGGTGAATATCAGTCGGTCCGGCAGTCAACAAGCGCAAGCACCCTCTTTTGAATCCTGGTTTCTTTTACTTCTTGTCTTATTTGATCCTAACCCCAAACATGGCCCGTGCCTGGGTACGTGTATTTCCCATGCATGCGTCCTTCTCTCTGGACATACCTGCATGCCCTCTCCCTTTCTTTGAAATTTCCCTTGTACCCGGGACCTGGATACAATTTTCTGATGTGTATCCGCTTCCCCGCTCTTCAAACATTGTAGACAAAAACAAAATCGGAGAACTCCTACAAAGTTGACCGAAAAAAAATTTGGATTATGACGGTAAGAAATCATGTGGCATGATGTCGTGGTATCATGAAGCCAGGGGACTTCTACTCCACCCCTGTGTTGAAGATTCGGGGCCATGTCTCGGACCCTGCCGTTGCCGTGTTTTATTGCGAAATCGAAACTTCGTCCGGGAACATCATTTGCCCCGAGGCTTCGACGTTGTGGTAGTCCAGGATCTCGGAGTACCTGTGATTCAGTTAGTGGTTGGTTCTCAACTCATCATATTGATGCGGTGAAACTCACATCATGATCTTCCATGTGTCGACCGGGAGATCAGCATCATTGAAACTCCAATCGAACTTCTCCTCGGCAACCGGCTCGTCGGTGGGGTCGTGGTAAGGAGCAAGGTACTCGTGTGAAAGGGCCTCGGTGGCAGTTATCCGCTTCTTAGGGTCAAAGACAAGCATGCGCTCGAGCAGATCGACGGCTAAGACAGGTTAGCATCTTGTGTATCCTGCGATGGCCAGCGGCTGAGACGTACCTGATGAATCGGCGTTCTTAAACTTATTCTTCAGGGGCTGACGCTCGCGCTTGGGAAGGGACTTGACGAATCTCAGGGTCTAACTGAAAGTTAGTCACGGTGTCGCAGAGCCTTCAGCAGAGTGGGGGTACACACGTTTTCGCTAGCAATCGTGTTGATGACATCGTCTGGGGGAGTGCCGAGAAGCTCGGTGATGATGGAGAACTGGTTGACATGGTCCTTGCCAGGGAAGAGGGGCTTGCCCTCCAGCATCTCGGCGAAAATGCAGCCGGCACTCCAGATATCGACCTCGACGTCGTACTTTTGCCAAGTGAGCATGATCTCGGGGGCGCGGTAGTAACGAGTAGAAACATAGCCCGTCATCTGAGGATCCTGGATACGCGCAAGGCCGAAATCGCAAATCTTCAAGTCGCAGTTCTCGTTGACCAGAATGTTACTTGGCTTCAGGTCACGGTGAACAACACCGGCGGAGTGAACGTATTTGAGACCGCGCTAATCCTGGAGTTAGTGATTGCGGTCGTTTTTCACGCGACATTAATAGGGGGTGACTTGCCATGATCTGATACAGGAAGTACTGGATAAACTGCTTCTCAAGAGGCCTAGAAGTGAGAAGTCTGTGAAGATCGGTTCCGAGAAGCTCGGTAACAAAGTAGATATCCTCGAGAGGAGAGATGAAGATATCGCTCAGAGAGATGACCTGTAGCGCAAGCATGTTAGTCGCGTGGTTCTCAATTTGCTTGTGCAATGGAATCTGGTAGACCAACGTTTTCGTGCCTCAAGTGCTTGAGAAGCTTCAGTTCACGGTACGTGCGTTTGGCGAGGACCGGTGTGCTGAAGGGCTTCATAATCTTCTTGATGGCGACATTCTGGTTGGTGAGCTGGTCTTTCGCGGAGCTGCGCGGCGGTCATCATTAGCTGGGTGCGTCTGGCGGATGTGACCAGATAGCGAAGCGAAAAACATACCAGACAAGGCCAAAAGCTCCCATGCCAACAGGCTGGAGATCAGAGTACCTATCGCGGGATCAGACTAGAGCGCATAATGACAGAAGGGTTCGTCGCAGGGAGGCCAACCTCGAGGTGATCTCAAAGGTAGTTCCGAAGATCTGGGCGCGGATAAATTCGGCCATTGTGAAGTGTTGTGTTGATGTTACAGAACAAAGGACGGAGTGAGATTTGCTGGAAGACTAAATAGCCCTGTCTCTGGTGGGAGCGCGGGGCAAGCTGAATGGGCCGAGTGTCGAAAACACAGGTCAAACGCGAGGTTTGATTCAGTGGCGGCAGTGAGGGGATCCGGTGATCGGGCGCTTTGTGTTTTGTGTAACTTAAGGGAGACTGAGGAGACGGACGACGTCGGCTGGTGTCGGATATTGCCTGCGTAGTGCGCACAATAAGGGGATCGGGCAAAGGCTGAGAACGAAGTCCTGAAGGCGAACCAAAAACTTTTGTTTGTCTTGGGAAGGAAAATCAGCTTGGGCACCGAGAGCAAAAGTGCCTGGAACGAAAAGTGAAGGGGAGAGCGGGTGGGAGCCGAATGCAATGGAGTGGACGCAATGGACAGAAAAAGGAATCCATCCCACTTCCAATCCCTCTCCAGCGCAACCTCCAGCTGGCTGGGCAGCTCAATGGCTCGCAGTGGGCAATACAGTGTGCGCCAGGCAGTCGCCAGGGCGGGGAAGTGCGGAGGAGGGACGGGAATTGGCCTTTAGTAGCGGTGGACCTTTTTTTGGTGGGTATCCGCTCGCTTACCTGCAGTAGTTCACTAACAGAACTGGAGCTTTTACCCAAATTGACGGGAATTCGGATACCTCTCGGAGGGGCAGCGACACGACAAGTGGTTGGCAGGCCGAGGTGTGTGCGATCGATGATTGGGAATGCTGGCGTCGCAACTCTGTGTCGTACTCGATCCGGAATGATTTTCCTCGTGTCGTGTATATATTGCTTTTTCGTCGGGCGGTTGGTAGGAAATATTTTGTGTTGCTGTGTTGTTGTTGTAAAAACCTCTCTTGCGATCCAAGGGCGATTTGAAGCAAGAAACCGATGGCCCCGCACTTTCCGACGATGGATTGCTTCTTCACAACTTGGCGAGTTTAGTCGAGCTAAGGTCAAAGTCGGATCCTTTCAACCGAGCAATATCGCGATGGGGGGTTTGGTTGATGGGTGGTGGCTGAGGCTTGTATAGGTCCGACCGAGACTGAGAGAATACTAGTAACACGCAGAGCACAACAGGTTTGAAGAGGAGAGAAAGCAGAGAAGGGACGTGTGAGGAAGATGAGGAGCGAAAGCGTAGATGATAAAAGAGGGAGGAAAGAAAAAGAAGGAGCTACGAGCAGTAAATAGTGTACACGGTCAAGTCTTTTGGCACTTGGACCTGAACCTGAATAATCTGAACACACAACACACCCGATGAGCCAGGCAAGGGTGCATGAAGACGCAGCGAGGATGGAACGGGAGGCCGGGCTCACGGGCAAGGAAGTAGGAGGAACAGCTCGAAACGGTTAATGCGCTACCAGGAACTTCCAATAGGGAAGAGGCCAGAGCATGGAGGACCGACCAGCATGGAGAGCTGGCACCACCCTAGGTACCCTGGCGGTACATCGGCGACCGTCCTCGAGACCAGGAACACGACGCCGGGACTGGAGAACAGGATATGCTGAATTTCCGTCTTGTTCAAATTCCATGCTCTGGTTCATCCATTTTCCGCTTTCTCTTTCTGTCGTTGGTTGGTTGGGTACCTGTACCTGTCCCCTCCCCTTTGAGTCCTCCCCTCCTTAGTGTGTCTCGCGCGTTCTGCATACATACATATATACCACCATCCACCACTAACTGGTGCTGGTTTCCAAATGGATGTTCCTGTTGTGTCTGATCTGCCGTTAACTGTCTCTGTTAATGCAGGGACATTTGAGAAGGTGAAGATAGCCTCAGTGGATGCCATGGATGTCAGGTTGATGTCTTTTAGGTGCAGCTTAAATGTGCAAGTCAAGCAATCATCCCTTCCAACTGCTTGCAGGTCACTGTTTTCCCTTAACCCCGCAACTTGGCCCGCGGTAGTTTCCCATAATACTAGGTCCTTGAGGTTGTCGTGTCACTCTAAACCCTTCGTTCAGTCAAATGCTCATCACAACCATTTCACAAACTATGTACCTACGCTCACCAGTCATCTGATAGTAGTGCATAGTCAAGTAGAGTAAGGTAGGTAGACATGGTGCCAAGACTAGGTGCCAGATGGGCCAGACGGGCCAGACGAGGGGAGCGAGGGCGACAACGAGGGAGATGCCCGCTCTAACAACCTCACGGAGGCTATGACGTAGTTGAGGGGTGGGGCTCATGAGCGTTAACCAGCGCTAACCACGACCCCTTGTCGCCGACACATGCCAAAAGACCCACTCCCGCTCGGCCTGGCAGGCATTCGCAAGCCATCGCAAGCCATCGGCCGTTTTTGCTGAGCCCCTCCATTTCCCATGGTCCTCTCCAAATCGCGAATTTGGGTGCAATCGGACTTTGATCGAGTAATTCAGCCAATAGTCCATTTGGCGGTGACTAGTCCTAGCGCAGAGTCGACCATTGATGTTGACACCCTTTCTTTCCCTTGCTAGAAAATTGGAAAAAAATAAAATAAAATAAAAACCGAATCGGCTGTCCCTCCGACCGCTGTCGACGAACCAAGCATAAAGCCGCAGTCACGCGCGGCTTCCTCCTCCCGAAGGTACACTGCCATTTGAACTTGAGTGCTATGATTTCAAGAAAAGCAGTCACTGTCAGATCGACAAGAAGGGCGATAAACAGGTTGTCAGTGAAGGTGTCTGGAGGAAAAGGTCCGGGTTGTGGAACACGAAGGGATTCACAATGCATACACTACACACTTGCCTCGCCGTTTGGGAGATTTTCAAACGACACACTGGAAATCAACGGAGTCACACCCTGGCGATCTGGATCAGGATGCTTAAAGTTCTTCCAACCAAGTCCATACCTCTCACTTCCATACCTTAGTCAGCTCATTCTTTACAGCCCACACTCAAAGCTTGGACCATCCTCCACACACATCCCCCTCAGTAGTGTAGAGATATGTAGTCTGATAGTGTACTTATGCCCCTGGGCTTTTCCGAGTGCTTGGACTCAGGCACGCAATTCTCACCCAGGATGTCTGTCTTTTTTGGGGGGGTTTTTTAGCCTCCATGAGTCGACTCCAAACATCAACCACACATGGTCACTCCACTATTGGCGATAGCCGCGTCATTGACTTGGCTTGTTCTTCCCGGCAGTCGCCATATATCTCAAGTCTCGTCATTCTTACCTTGGGCTGTTGGAGGTTGCTGGGCTTGGGTATCAACGCAATATGGCACGCATTCTAGAGTGTCGTCGTGGTTGTGTGCAAGTGGAAGTCATTCCCACCACTACCAAGAAGACATCCACCCACCCAGCATGCTGGCCATCTCGATGACACCCCCAAGACTTCTCCCAAGAGCCGCCTCTCCGTCCAGACCCTACACTAGTGTAGTTGGATCTCATGCCACCGACCACTCGCAACCCTCCAAGATTCACAAAGCTCCATTTCCATATCAGAGCTCCTCGACGGCCGTCTCTCTGGCCATGTGGATTCTCCCCATCCCATGATCGGGAATCGGTGATTTCTCTCAAGCCAGTCCCAAAGAGGGACATCTGGCAACCCTCCTTGTCAAGGGTCCTTGCCGACTCCCACTTCCCGCGCTTTCAGGGCCCCCAACCTCCATCCATCCATCTATCTACATGCAGAGCTCATCACAGCCAAATCAGCTCACCTCCTTCCCCTCGCTAGCATGTGTCCGCTGCCCTGGCGCTTATGTATTGATTGAAATTCTTCTGCCACGCCTGCCTGCACGGATCACGGATCATTCCCGTGATCATCAGGGACCAATACTCTTTACCCACCGACACTGTTCTGTTTTGTTGCCAGCCGCGCCATCCCATCTCTTCTTGCTTTTGTTCCCATTTCCGAGCTGTTGTTCACGTACTAGAGCAAATCATCTTATCTATCGACCAGCGCCGCCCCCACATCAGCCAGCACAAAGGGCATTCATCCTCGCCAAATCAGCGCACACTTCCCTCACCTTCCCCTCAATGATGGAGCTACGATTCCAGCTTGGAGCACACACAGAACCACTCCCCAACAATTCCTAAACTAGGTGCCGAGTAAGCACGAAGACACTATGCCGTCATAACTATGTAAAGACCCTTGGTCTATCTTTCCGCTGTCCCTGCTGTCTGCTGTCCCTGTTGGGGATATCCCCAAGGCGAGGGAAATTCACCAAACCAAAAATAAACCCTGGGCTGCTGGACACATCGATTGGTATGTAGTGTACATATGTAGTTTACACTACATAGTCTGCAGTGCCTGCATGTTGAAACCGGCGCTATTAACATCACAACTACCACACAACCATTCCCAAATCTTCCTAGCCTCGTCAATAGCCAGCGGGGTCAGGACGGGGGGAGCTTCCAGGCCCGTCTTATGCACGATGACGTCGTCGGGGTATGGTCCAGCTAGCGTAGCGACCCGCGAACCGCCTTCAGGTCCAAGAACGTCCGTCGTCCCTCGTTCCCGCTTCCCTTGTCTTGACCTCCCATGGACCCGGTTAGAACCCTGGATCAGTCACAGGGGCAAGCAGGAGGAGGAGGATAGTACCCTCAATTTTGATAGGGTCCACGAGACTTTTTTTTGGCTAATGTACATACTGATGCTACTGCTGCTGCCAGTGTGCAGATGCATACTACAGCAAAGGCACGTTTTCAAGGCAGAAAGCATGTTCAAAATGATGACTATCGGGTGTTGGCTCTCAATTCGCTAATATTGAACCAATTATTTGCAAGTGTCTTGTCATCAAAATTAATTCACTGCACAGGGGAATGTCATTCACCTACATACATACATATCCAACTCTGCATCGCAGCCAGGGTCCTTTATGCATATGTACTGCAGCAGGTCCAGCAGCCGGAGATGCACTCTCACATTTCCTTACCACAACTTTGGTAGGGACAGCGGAATGCACCTCGCATCCGGTATCTTGCAACGGAACGAGGAGCGCATTCCCGTTACAACCGTTGAACCGGGGGCTGGACGGATGGGTGCATATAGACAAGGTGATCCGTCAGAAAAAGAAAAAAAAAAAATGAAGCTGAAGCTGTCAACACCCACGCTGCCGCCGGTAGCGTCACAACCCTCTCCTGACAGCTTCAGCTCACATCTTCCCTTATGGATGCCAGCTCCGGAAGCTACACGACATAATACACTATACTGTATGCTGTCGATCACTTCCAGCTCCCCCAGGGCAGGGTCAGCATCCTCGGCTTGAACGGGAACCAAGCGGATGCTTTAAGACTAGTGTGGGATATGCAGCTATTCACAAACTCGCCACCCCGAACCCCCTTTGTCCATGTTCGTCTGCCCAGCTCGCTTCCCGTTTTGAGCCTCCAGGCCTCTAGTGTAGTGTAGTGTATTCTCTTCTTACCCCCCGCGTCCCCCTTCATCAACGCCTGTGTGCCCGGTCAAGCCGGTGTACTATGTAGCGCAACGGCAGCAGGGATAATGCCATGGGAAACAGATCACCCTTTTCTACCATCAACTTCCCATACTGTATCCATCCCGTCCCAAATCGGGGAGTCGGACAAGGGGCCATCAAGCCATGTCCATGTCCATGGAGCAAGTCCCATCCATCCATCTGTCCATGATCTCCATCAACGGACCAAAGACACACAATCGTGTGACAAATACAAGCTCCCTGTCAAGAAGTTGCACGACTCGACAAGCCTGACATACAGAGCCAAGAGAAGGTGAAGATATCGTCGACTCCGAATGGCGCCTCCTGGGACGCCGACACTCTAATCTAATACGCTCGCTCGCTGACTTGCACGCTGTGGCTCGTGGGCGGACGGAGGCTCAAAACTGGCTGGAGCCCTCGGGCGATCCGCAACGGTGATCTGCAAACCTCCATCGAGACGTCTGTCTGTTGCTCAACAGTAGTGTATGGGATCGCCGGTTCGGGCCCCTCCCGAGAACTGCACATGGACCCCTCGATCCAGTCGAGTTATCTGAATCTGAAATCCCATGATATTTACTTGACTCCTTACTGTACCAGAGGATCGTACTTACCCGATTCACGATTTAGATATGCACACACCTCCGGCATGCCAGCTACCGACATAAGAGTCTTGCTTCATGAATACTTGATAAACGGGCTCTACCACGAAACTCTTCGAAAGCCCAGAGTGGCAACTACCGAATCGACACATCAACATACGAACAGCAACCATTATAGTAACACAGCAGAGGTTCAGATGGCCTTGGAAAGTTTCTTGTGGTTCCAGGATTTGCTCAACTCAGCTGTCACGGACCTGTGCTTGCCCATCACTACGTAGTATAGTCTAGTGGATACAAGCACACATGGATGAGCACCAAGCAACGCAGCAACATCATTCCGCAAGAGTGTTGCAACACAAGGTAGACAGAGGTATGGAGTACAGCCTACCTTACCTAGATCATGTGCTTGAATTGAAAAGTAAGGTGAGTGGTTATGGACAGTCGGGGGACACACACACAAGGTTACCATCACTACCTACCTACATAGCATAGAGTGACACAATGTCCTTGAGCAACAAGACCATCAGGTCGAGATCGTTCTAGAACTTTTCTATAGTTCCTACAAGATATAATCACAACCTCGTAGTAGTTGTAAACCCTCACGTCTGTTACTAGGTACCTAGTAACTCAGACCTTATGTCTTGTTTTATTACTGTACATGCACACCTTCTAGAACATCGAGTTTGTCAAAGATAAAAATCTTACCCCGAAGCATGAATGGCATGCAGCTTCACGCCGTTCCATGTCTTTTGCGTCGTACCAAACTCAGCCTACCTAGGTAAGCCCTAGGTAAGCCCTACCTACCTAGGTATCGCTTGGTTGTGTTCCGACTTTTTTGTACGACCAACCAACTTACCTACACCTAGAAAGACAACATAACACATGACCTAAGCCATAGGCTATAAGCTATATCGGCGATAGATACTCCGCGCGTGCGCCCTCGACTGGACCTCGAGGAATGTAGTATCACTAAAGAGCGTGAAGAAGAATCGTGACGGGGGCGTATATCTCAACGGGGTCACCGATACCGATATCGATCGAGTTTTTTTCAGTTACCTAAAGGGAGTATTGATTGTGCTACACCACCTGAGTACACTAGCTTCCCGCAGGAATGAAAGGACATGGGAACCAGAACTAGGGAAATTGTCCAGGTAGGTACGAGGTACACTAACTAGGTAGATCAACATAGGTAGCTTCTGCCAAAAGAGCCTTGTACAGTTGTGCCGGATATACCCTACGCGATACAAGAGAATGGAAATAAATACATACGGGTTTCACAAGAATAGAGAAGAAAAGAAACAAGGACGATGGAAACTACCCAGGTATTAATTGAGCTCTTGGTTTGACCCAATAAAAAGAAATCTATTGAAAATCTGATCAGGCGTTACAGTCAATCAGTCAGTCAGTCACTTTTTTTTTTTTTTTTTTTTTTTTTTTTTTTTTTTTTTTTTTTTTTTTTCAATGATCCAAGTAAGTGAGGTAGGTTAAACAGATAGGGGAGGTAAATTAAAAAAAAAAAAAATTTGAGGAAAGGAAAAATT